CCAGGATGGAGTGGCTCAAGGAAGGGGAGAAGAACACCAAAGCTTTTCATGCCAAAGCTTCTGAAAGAAGAAAGAGGAATACCATTAAGAAGCTCCAGGATGAACAGGGGAGAGTCTTTAAGGGTTAAGAAGAAGTGACAGAGTGCTTATTTCAATACTACTCAAAGCTCTTCGAAAGTAAAGCAGATCAGAATTGCTGGAAAGTTATAGATGTGATTGAGAAGAAAGTAACTGATGAGATGAATCACAAACTACTCAGGCCATTTACTGCGGAAGAAATTAAAGCTGCTTTGTTTCAAATGGGAGCCACCAAAGCTTCAGGGGATGATGGTTTTCCAGCCCTCTTCTTCCAAAAGAATTGGAACACAATTGCACCTAAATTAACTGAGGAACTGATGGAATTTCTCAATGGAGGAAGCTTGCCTGCTGATCTCATTAGAAATCTTATTGCGCTAATTCCAAAGGTAAAAAATCCTATTTCCCCCCAAAGAGTACAGACCGATTAGTTTGTGTTCTGTTCTGTATAAAATTCTTTCAAAGACCATTGCTAACATGCTGAAAGAAGTGTTGAATGATCTTATATGTGAAGCACAGAGTGCCTTTGTCCCTGGAAGATCAATCACTGACAATGTGATAGCTGCCTTTGAGTGCTTCTCTACCATGAAGAACAAAAATAAAGGTGATAGGGGTTCCCTGGCTCTTAAACTGGATATGGCTAAGGCATACGACCGTGTTGAATGGATCTTTCTTGAAAGGGTTATGGCAAATTTGGGTTTTGATGATAAATGGATCAAGCTTGTCATGAACTGTGTTTCTTCTGTATCTTATGCAGTTTTGGTCAATGGTCACAAATCGAGTTTCTTCAATCCAGGAAGGGGGCTGAGGCAAGGGGATCCCCTCTCCCCATATCTCTTTCTGCTCTGTGCTGAAGGCTTATCAGCTCTGATCAACAAGAATGAGAAGGAGAGGAAAATCCATGGTCTGAAAATCTGCAACAAAGCTCCAGTTGTCTCCCATTTGCTGTTTGCAGACGACTGTATAATATTTGCTACGGCCACAGTGGAAGAAGCAAAGAGATTGAAAGAAATGCTTGAAGACTATGAGAAAGAGTCTGGACAAATGGTGAATCTGGATAAGTCAGAGATCTACTTCAGTAAGAACACTTTGAGTAACAGAAGACAAGAAATATGCCAGGAGCTAAACATTAAGGAAGTTGACACATTAGCAAAATACCTTGGCCTACCTACAATGGTGGGGAGATCGAAGAAGCTGGTGTTCAGCAACCTCAGAGATAGGGTGAGAAACAAACTGATGAACTGGAAAAACAAGTTCTTCTCAGAAGCAGGTAAAGAAATTCTGATTAAGAGTATTGCTCAGGCCCAAACAACTTATGCTATGTCTGTGTTTAGGATCCCGGATGGTATTTTAGATGATATTCATAGCTTGATTGCTAATTTCTGGTGGGGGCAGAAAGGGAATGAAAGAAGAATTCATTGGAGGAGATGGGAAAAATTGTGTAAAAAGAAGAATCAAGGAGGCATGGGTTTCAGAAACCTTAAAGTGTTTAACACAGCCATCTTAGCAAAACAGCTATGGAACTTGAGTCTTAACCCTCAGTCTCTGGTTGCAAGACTGTTAAAGGCAAAGTACCATCCGAAGTGCAACATCTTGGAAGCAAAAATTGGCTGGAGACCAAGCTATGTTTGGAGGAGTCTGATGGGAGCTCAGGATTTGTTAAAATCAGGCTGCAGATGGAGGATTGGCTCGGGTGAAGAGGTGCATATTTGGAAAGATAAAATGGGTCCTAGGGCTTGACAATTTCCAAGTCTTTTCTTATTTCCCTTTCCTGGATTGGGACTCCAAAGTCTCTTGCCAAATTGACCAAGAAACCAGAACCTGGAGGAGAGATTTGATTGAGATTATGTTCACGCAGGAAGAGCAGTAGGCTATTCTGGATATTCCTTTAACTTCTGAGATTGTTAAGGATTATGGAAAGTACACAGTCCGGTCAGGATACGATATGGAAATGAACAGAGTAGGGGAGGTTTTGGCAGGAAATGGTACTGAGCAGGAAATGAATGATGGATGGAAAAAGCTATGGGGGTTAAATATCCCAGGGAAGATCAAGGTCTTCTTGTGGAAAGTGGCCCATAACATTTTTCCAGTTGGTGTTAAGATCAGGAAGAAAAGCAGCAGAAGAGGGGAGGAATGCCCAAACTGTGGAATGAAGGAAACTTTAAAACACTGTCTTGTGAATTGCAGCTGGGTGGGGAGAATCTTGCCAAAAACCCCTATTGCTAACCTGTTCTATATGGCTGATTCTCTTTCCTGTAAAGAATGGATTTTCAAGGTGATTAAGGAAGCAAAAGAAGGGGAGATTGAAAGATTCTGCTCTTTGTTATGGTTTTTCTGGAAAGAAAGAAATAACTGTTTGTTCAACAGCAAAATGCTACAAGAATGTGAAGTGTTTACAAAGGCTGATGACTTTATACAAGACTACATTGCTGTCCAAGGAAAAGATAATAACAGAAGAAGAGAAGTGAACAGGAGGAATAGCAGGTGCGAGAAGCCACAGGAAGGAATGTACAAACTGAATACTGATGCTGGATGTAGTGGTAAAGGAGAGGTGGGATTGGGTTTTATCATTAGAGACTGGAATGGCAAGGTAATGCTGGCTGGAAGCAGAACTCTGAAAGCTAACTGGTCCCCTGAGATTGCAGAAGGTATGGCGATGCAGTTTGGTCTAAAGGAAGCAAAAGAAAAAGGGCTTAGAGGCATTCAGGTTGAGTCAGATTGCCAAAGATTGATCAACTGTCTGAAACGGAAAGAGAACAGCAGAACTGAGGTGGATAGCATCTGCAGAAACGTTGTCTCGATCGGTTTGGAGGTAAATGTAGTTGAGTGGAGTTTTGTCTATAGGGAAGCAAATGGGGTTGCACACTTATTAGCACATTTCTTTCCTTTTAACATCATTAGAAGTGAGATTTGGCTAGATTGTATTCCTGGCCTTTTGGCTGATGTAATTGCCGATGAGGCCGATCTGTGATTTCTATGAAATCTGTTTATCTCTCAAAAAAAAAAAAACCTTCTCCTGAGTCTCGCGACCATATCTTCTATGTATGTCTCGGGACTAGATACTATAACAACACTCTTTTTGTTGTTATTGTAACAACACTAGTCTCCAACCAATAGGAAGCTAGGGTTGTGATGACTTTTTATTAGTTGAGTTGACCTAGTGTAAAATCAAAGCAGGGGTATAATTGTCATTATGAAAAAATAAAAAAATAATAAAAATAAAAAATTTATTTTTTTATTTTCTGCTCAAAATTCGGTCGCCGAAATCTGGTCGCCGATCACCGGAATATGCTTTTCATCGTCGGAATATGCTATTTTCTCATCGGAATATGCCATCGTCACCAGAATATGCTTACCGGCGTCGGAATCCAGTCATCGGGGCCGGAATATGCCTATCGGCGTTGGAATCTGCTCACTGACGGTTATCGGAGTTCGGTTAACGGTCAACGACCACCGGATGTTATGGTCTTCATTGTGAGATTTATGGTTTGGTTTCTCACATTTTTGTATGTCTTTTGTGCTTTGCTTTATCGCGTTTGTGGTTTGCATTGAGAAGTTTCTAGTTTGCTTTATCGTGTTTGTGGTTTGCATTGAGAAGTTTCTGGTTTGCTTTCAAAAAATTTGTGGTTTGCATTGAGGGGTTTGTGGTTTGTTTTAGGAGATTTGTGGTATGCATTATGAGGTTTCTGGTTTGTTTTTGTGGTTTGCTTTAACGTATTTGTGGTTTGCATTATGAGGTTTCTGGTGTGTCTTTGAAAATTCTGTGATTTGCTTTGTGAGGTTTCTGGTTTGTTTTAGGAGATTTGTGGTATGCATTCGGAGGTTTCTAGTTTGCTTTATTGTGTTTCTGGTTTACATTAACAAGTTTATGGTGTGCTTTCGAAAATTTTATGGTTTCATTTGTGGGGTTTCTGGTTTGTTTTAATATATTTTTGGTCTGCATTAGAAGGTTTGTGGTTTGCTTTAGCATGTTTGTGGTTTGCATTATGAGGTTTCTGGTGTGCTTTCGGAATATTGGTTCACTGAAAATTTGCTTTCAAGGGCTTGTTTTACAGATAAAGTTGCCATGTTTCTAATGGTATGCTTTGAAAATCCAGAAAATGTCATTAAGGTTGTTTTCCAAGGCCTCAAAGTTGCTACCTCAAAACTGAAAACTGCCAGAAAATGGCTAAGGCAGGAAACTGTTTTGTGAAGCCTACTTTGGAGCTTAATTCGAGGAGTATGGATCTTATTCAAGTCCAAAGGCTTCCACAACATGAAACTAGGTATGTTTTTGAACAAAGGGAAGGAATTGGATGAAGAATTGGAGTTCGGGAAGGCCTCGAACGAAAGGCGCGAAGTTCGTACGAAGTCACAAAATTCTGCCTTTGTAAAAACATAATTGTTTTCCTTATTCGATTAGGATTAGGTCCTTTTTGCTACTTTTTAGTTCTTATTCGTATTAGGTTGTAATTATGAGTTGCTTGTACGAAAGTTAACCCTAGCTAGGCCTATTTAAACTCGTCGTTTACATTGTAATCGTCAGACTTTGTTGAATAGAAAAGAAACCGTTTGGTTTGTGCAAGTTGCGGCTTGTTTTTGGTTTGGTGGATTCCAAACTTGCTGAGCTTGTGTATCGATTGAATAGTCACTTCAATCGTGGTCGAGCAACTATCCTTTTATACCGATCGAGCTATCCCCAGGTGTGGATTTGTCCTTTTGGTTCCGTTTTATCCAAGTTCGTATTAAGAACGCTTCGTTCTTGATTCAAGCTCAATCGATTCTTCGATTGAGTCGTTAGCTGCGTGACTTTGATAAAAATACACCCCCAGGGTCGTATTAAGACTGCCCGTGAGCTAATCAAGTTCGATTGGCTGTCACTATTGAGTACACAGAACACACCTTCTCGCCCACCAAACAGCGAGTATAGGACGTCAAATTTGGCTGTCACTGTTGTTTGTTCATTTTTGGGTACATCAATTTTGCAAGTGGTTTGGTGCTGTTGAGTTGATGACAGAAAATGAATGAACTCCCTTCCCTGGCTATCCAGAAATGAGGAAATCTCTCATTTTCCTGTTGTAATTCCTTCTTCCTTCGTTCCTTCTGCTCCATTGTGTGGCCTAAATCACAGTACTGAATCTACTCCCACAAAAGTCCAATCTCAAATTCTCCACATCAATTTCGAATCCCAGCACACGATCTCTCGAGGCCGTCCATCTTGGCGACAGCATCGCCGTCAACGGTGACCGAGTTCACCGACGAAGACTTCACCCTCGCCCGTCGACGGCGACGACCCTCGCCCGCCCATCCTCTTCTCGTCACCAACCCTTCCAACCCGCTGGGAACCACGTTGACCCGACCGGAGCTCAACCTCCTCGCCAGCTTCATCTCCGACAAGCAGATCCACCTCATCAGCGACGAGATCTACTATGACTCGTGGCTTTTGATTTTGGATCACCGAGAAGATAGCCCTCGGAACTGACTGGTCATCGTCGTCGTTGTGGAGGCGGAGGAGGTTGACGCGGCGATTCCAACTCCGCGGACTGGGCAAGTTGGGCGGTGATTCCGTGGCCGGCGAGTTGGAAGAATTCGTGTTCGGAGGCGGCGGAGAGGATGATGAGATCTGATAGCGGTGAGTGAATTTAATTAACTTTATTTTATTATTTTCTATCTAATTTACCATTTTACCCTTAATGAATTTTGTTGTTATAATAACAACACTAAGAGTGTTGTTATTCTATCCGAACCCGTATGTCTCTATATTAACCGTTGCTTACCACCTTCCATTCTTTATGCTACCACTAGACTGGCAAATGAGGACCCGACCCGTTGGCCCGACCCGAACCCGCCTGAAAAATAGAGAATGGGTTGAGGTTTTTATAACCTGAAACCCGAATGACCCGAACCCGATTAACCCGTAGTTTTTTGGTCGGGTTGGGTTGGTTTGTGGGTCGACCTGCTAGACCCGTTTCATTGCATATGTCACTCTCAAAATGGTAAAATCACTCATACTTTGGTGAGATGTTTAAAAAAATTTATTAGGTATTTGAAAGACAAGTTTGGTGTGTTAAGATAATCAAACATCATTTGTTTATATCATTTGTTTATTGTAGTAGTATTACTTTCGTCATTGTTTTTTTGACAATTTGTGCAATTTGTATTTCTTTTCATTAGCATGGAAGGAGTTAAGCATTTGTTAATTGACATGTGCTAGGTAAACTATTGTCGCACATATATAAAAATTTGTGTTCTTTAAAAATTTATGAAGCATGTTTGATATTGTTTCTGAAAACGCTCATGACCCGAAATTACTCGAAACCCGACCCGAAATTCGATGGGTTGGGTCAATATTTGACCCGAAATCAGCAAACCCATCATGACCCGACCCGTGAAGACCCGTAACCCGAGATTTCCAACCCGAAATTACCCAACCCAACCCGATTGCCAGCTACCACACCACAATCGAACAAAAATCCGCCTTATTAGCTACCAAAGTAGAATCAAAGGCCACGATTAAACTAAACAAGCCACCAATTCCAAAAACACAACCCTTTTCGTTGAAAACCAAACACAAACCTTTATTATACATAGAGAAAGAGCAGATAAACCCAAAAACGACCACAAACAGTTCCAAAATCCATCACAATCAATTAAAATCTTCCCCAAATACCAAAATCTGGGTTTTAAATACCAATTTGTTCTTATGTCCTAAAACTCATAATTAAAATCAACACAGACTCTCAAATTGACCAAAAAAAAAAAACTAAAACAAGCATAGATAACCATTTAGCTTGACCATGAGATCAATTTTGTTGTAATTTTTAGAACTCCCTAACAAATTCGAGTAGTGCTCGGAGAAGTCTCACCTACATTTACCTGTGTTCTCAATAAACTGCATTCCAAAACGAGAAGAGTACAAGTAAGAACCTAGAACAGTTCCAAAATCCATCACAATCAATTAAAATCTTCCCCAAATACCAAAATCTGGATTTTAAATACCAATTTGTTCTTATGTCCTAAAACTCATAATTAAAATCAACACAGCCTCTCAAATTGACAAAAAAAAAACTAAAACAAGCATAGATAACCATTTAACTTGACCATGAGATCAATTTTGTTGTAATTCTTAGAACTCCCTAACAAATTCGAGTAGTGCTCGGAGAAGTCTCACCTACATTTACCCGTGTTCTCAATAAACTGCATTCCAAAACGAGAAGAGTAAAAGTAAGAACCTACGAAGCAAAAAAACGAATTGCAAGTAAAAGAGAGCCTACTCAAAACTGGAACTCGGAGTTTGATTGTTCCCGCCGCCGGCGCTCTCCTTTGGTTCCCTTTTGCATCGTCGTTTTCACTGTTAGGAATGGAACAACAAAAGGAACGAGGTTACCGAATGTGGAGCTGAGTCGCGGACTAGGTAGCTCTCTTTAAGACGTTCGCGGCACTGCCTTCGATGCGCACGACAGACTATCAACCGGTCGTCTCCAGGATAAAACAGCTCCTCTCAATACTCGCGGTTTTGTGCGAAAACCGAAGCTCTCTAAACACTCTCTCTATTGTGTTTCTGCTCGTTGTGATGTGTTTAGAGGGGCTGGGGAGGCGGCTATTTATAGGAGCCGAACCCCTAGGAATATACCCTCTAGCTTGGGGAATAAGTCGGATTAATTAAGGAAGATAATTACTTCCTTAATTAAAACCGTCGGTTAAGATAAACCCGAAGGGATTATCCTTCGAATATTCCGTTTTAGTCGATTATCCTTAGAATATTCCTCAGAATAACCGATTACTAATTAATTATTAGATAATTAATTTCGTTCGGAATTTCTCCAAAAATATATATATAGTCTCAAGCCAACCAACCAACCAACCGACCGGTCGGACAGACGGCGTGCGCGCGCGTGTGTGTGGTGGTCCGTTAGGTCCTCCCTCTCCCACAAAAGTGGGTCACCCCAAGGGGCATGCCCTTAGGAGAGAGGCTCTTATCTTTATACACATTTCACCAAGTAAAACTACCAATGTGGTAGTTTTTCCACTAGAGACTCTATAGCTTTCAAAGCTATTCATATACATTTCCAACAATCCCCCACTTGAATAGTTTTGAAACTATCTCTGAGCATCAACAGTTCCATAAGATCGGGCATAAGCAGAGGTATCGCGAAGATTTGAACCTTAGCGTAGTGGTTACACTTCCGATTTCATAAGGGTGACTCGTAGTCTTGAACCCTATCTCAGACAGTGCAGCACACCGGATCTTTTCATTGAGTTGTGTTCTCTTCATAGCCCTTGCGTTTATGGCCATGCACGTTACCCTGGTTTAGTGAACGCTCTAGCAACTTTGTGCCTCCAAAGTTCCATAGGGAGCGGCCCCACTCCCACATTCACATAGGTGAGTCTATCAAGAGTACCCCCAAAGTAAAGTACTCCACCCCACATAGGGTATAGATCTCATTAAGAGTTATTAACTCAACCTCCAATGCTTTGGGATTCATGCTTCACAATGCATGAACTTTTCGCATACTACTCATGACTTGTTATTACCCATTGAACCCATTTCTTGGGATCTCCAGTCTATTGGGTCGGGTTACCATCACTTGTAGTCCGTGGTTCGGTAGGCATAAGTCCCATACCCTTGGCGGTATTTTGGACTTTCTCTCTAGGTAATCCTTTCGTCAAAGGATCAGCTAGATTCTGTTCGGATCTTATATGATCCACCCTCACTGCTCCTATCGTTAGGAGTTCTCTTACAGTACTGTGCTTACGACGAATTTGTCGTATCTTTCCGTTATAGAACCGGTTCGCGATAGCAGCGGTACTATCACAATGGATCAATACCGGAGGGACCGGCCTTTCCCATAGGGGAATCTCTGACAACAATCCTCTCAACCAACTTGCTTCTTCACTAGCCGTTGCTAATGCTATCATCTCTGATTCCATAGTTGATTGAGCTAGGATTGTTTGTTTCTTTGACTTCCAAGACACAGCTCCACCAGCGATGTTGAAAACATACCCGCTGGTTTCCTTAGAGTCATCTGATAGGGTATTCCAATCCGCATCACTATACCCTTCTAGTACAGCAGGAAACCTTTGATAGTGTATACCAAGGTTTGCTGTTCTATTGAGGTATCTCATGACCCTCTCTATAGCATTCCAATGCTCTCTACTAGGAAAGCTGTTAAACCTGCCAAGCAATCCCACGACATATGCAATGTCTGGTCGAGTGTAATCCGCAGCATAACGGAGACTGCCAATGATGCTAGCATATTCTGATTGTCTGACACTGTCTCCAGTGTTCTTAAATAGCTTTACACTAGCATCATACGGAGTACACGCAGGTTTACAGTCGAAATAGTTATATTTCTTCAAGATCTTCTCTATGTAGCTAGATTGATCTAGAGAATAACCATTTGCTGTTCTAGTTATCTGGATTCCAAGCATAAACTTTGCTTCTCCCATATCTTTCACTTCAAAGCTCTCTTTCAACATGGCTTTTGCTTCATTGACCATATTTGTACCAAATATCAACATGTCATCTACATACAAACATATGATAGTACAAGTGTTATTTTCTGACTTGCAGTAAATACACTTGTCACTTTCATTCACCTTAAAGCCATGTGAGAGAACGAGAGTGTCAAACTTCTCATGCCACTGTTTTGGAGCCTGTTTCAAACTATATAATGATTTGTCTAACTTACAAACTTTCGAGGCATGTTCGGGGATAACAAACCCTTCTGGTTGTTCCATATAGATTTCTTCATCCAGATCACCGTTCAAAAAAGCGGTCTTAACATCCATTTGGTGTACCACGAGATTGTTCAAGGCAGCAAGAGCAATCATTACACGAATGGATGTTATTCTTGATACTGGTGAATAGGTATCGAAGAAATCTATATTCTCTCTCTGCCTGTAGCCCTTAACTACTAGGCGAGCTCGGAACCTTTCGATTGCACCATCAGGTTTCCGTTTCGTTTTTAGAACCCATTTATTACCTAAGACTTTGCAGCCAGGAGGTAAGTCTGTTAGATGCCAAGTCTTATTAGCTTCTAATGATTCCATTTCATCTATAACGACCTCATTCCAAAAATCTGCATCTACGGAAGTTAATGCTTCCTGCAAAAAATTTGGATCTTCGAGGGTGAATACTGTAGTAAAGTCATCACCAAAATCTTTAGAGATTCTAGCTCTTTTACTTCTTCTGAGTTCATCCTCAGAACCAACACCCCCACTAGTTCCGTTATCTCTAATAGCGGGTAGTACATTACCCCCACTATTTCTCGTTTTAAATGGAAATTGTGTCTCAAAGAAATCAGCATCAATGGATTCTATTGTAGTACGAGCATTCAAATCATAGAATCTATATGCCTTACTATTGGCCGCATAGCCAACGAAGACACATTCATATGCTCGACTAGCCAATTTAATCCTCTTAGGATCCGGAATTCTTACGTAGGCCAAACAGCCCCACGTTCTTAAATAGGACAGATTTGGTGGCTTATTCTTCAAGATCTCATAGGGTGATTCT